CCATGAATGCATAAGTTGTCTGAAATAACAAAAGTTTGTTATCTAATATTTTGCACTTTTGTCTTTTTTTGCTTATCAAGATTATGGCTAGATATCTTGATTGTGCAATTCTTGAGTTAATTATTTTTATTTACTCTTGATGCCTAGATGATGCAAGGGAGTCATAAAGATTTGAATAATGGTGTTATTATTTATTGTTATTGTTATTTGAATATTTTAAAAATCTGTGTGTGTGTGTGTGTGCGTGTGTGTGTGTGTGTGTGTGTGTGTGTGTGTGTGTGTGTGTATGTGTGTGTGTGTGTGTGTGCGTGTGCGCATGTGCGTGTGCGTGTGTGTGTATCTGTTTTTAGATGGTAAAAGTCAATCATATTTGAATTGCCACTGTTTGAGTCTTCATTTTCCTACCCCTAATAATTTTCTCTTTTTCTGTTTTACCTTCTCAAAAATAGGTACCGCCACACGGTGTTACGCGCTCTGCCACACCTTCAGAAGCTGGACAATGTTGCCGTGGATTCAGAAGAAGTCCAGCAAGCCATGGTCTGTGGTCTGGCCCTCCCCATTTCCGACTCACCAATGGCACAGAGGTAGGAAGAGGGCTAGTTTTCTTTTTCTGTATGTAGAGAGAAAAGAAAAAAATTAAAGTTATATTCATGGGATGGTTCCTCCCTTCCTCTTCTCTCCCTATCCTCCTTCACTTTTTCCTCTCTTCTCCTCGTCCTCATTTCTCGGATGGTCGCTCTTACTCCTCGTGCTTTATTTACATCAGGGAGGAGCGGGAAATGCCGAGGTCGAGCAGCATGGGGGAGTCACTGCGCAGCGAGGGGGGCAGCAGCCTGTCGGACTGCTCGCCTCCCTCCTCCGAGCGCCGCTACTCACAAACCACAACCCCCACGCGCTCCAATCAACAGGTGGGTTGATGATGCGTGTAGCTTAGAGAGGTGCTCATGTGAATTGATTTTATTTTACGTACCTCCATTTTTTATTTTATTTTTTTTTGACTGCTAGTGTTCATGCTTGAATTACTGGGCCCAGTATGCCATACTCTTATATAATGGTATTGCATTTGATGTCCAGGAAGAATGTATTATTTTAAGACTGTATCTTTTGTATTTTAGTAGACAAAGCCATTCTATTTCACATATCTTACAGATTGATGAATTTTGTTATTTAATGATATTAAACAGACTTGCTGTGGATTTGAAAGCAGGGTTTTTAATGGCAGTAATGTACTTTCCAATGACCAGAGCTTGATAGGGTTCCTGTGATGAGCTGTAAACACCTGGTAGTTCTTTCTGTTGACTTATGATTTTTGAAATTTGGTATGAGGATTTCCAAGTGTTTTACCTAGTTGTTTAAGCTACATAGGTACTGATCATGCATTTATGTAGCTCTAGCCATATAGCTATCATAGGAACCAAGTGACAGATGCTCTAGCGCTCTGAAGACAAAGACAAATTGATTTTTATTTTGCATTATCTTGTTGCCTGGAGGTTTATATTTTAAGGCCCCTTCTCTTCAAATGGTATGTAGATTTTTTGTGTTAATTCTCTATAGTATATTCCCTTTTCCTGTATTTTCCCCTTCTAATTTCATACTAATTAGCATAAAGCAGATTGTTAATGGTGTGTTATAGCAAACCCATATATTAAAAAATGTAGAAACAGAGCTCAAGATTTCGAGTTACTGGAGTGAACTACATTGTTGCCGTCTTTTTCTTTTGAGTAAATGCATCCATTCGCTAAATTCAGATTCGTTCTTGCAATTTTGAAACGCATTTGTCAAGATAGCTAACTTCTGTTAAACATCTTTGGGCATGTTGCTTTGGCAGCTATCCTCTTTGATGCAGCCAATAAAAGAAAAGATAAAAGGTGTTATGATCGTCCATTTGGATGCTATAATTGCACATACTTTATTTTTGTTCTGGGGATAATTTGACGTTCTTTTGCTGGAAGCTTGTTACTTTGAGAATTGAGTTTAAGCGTGTTTTACAAAAGTGCATTTGTCATTCCTTGCTTGAGGTAAGAAAAGGGAGAGATAGGAAGGAGGGCAAGAGAATTATAGATATTAATTAATGCTTGTTATTTGAAATTGAAGTTAGTCTTGATTTTGTGAAACGGATAATCACGTCATGAAGATTTTACACTGGTTTACCTCTCGTGTTGCAATGATGAAAGAGAATTGCCACACTGTAAGGAATTATAGCAGTGAAAAGGAGAAATATAAACCAAAAGGGAGACAGAGTCGAACTGGCCAACACCTGGATGTCATTTGAATAGTTGCAATATAAGTTTTATAATCTGTCATTGTAGTTTTGGGGGTTAGAAGGAAAAATAAATTGAAGCTACTAATCTTCAGAATGTAGATTGGATTAAATGACGTTGGCTGGCTAAAATTTCCAGTGGAACTTCGGAAGTATTTCTTTTAACAATCTGATTTATATGGTCAGTTTTTGTACATAAATACAAAAAAATTGAAGAGTAATATGGATTTGTCCTCTTCTGATGAAGAGTTAGGAGTCATAAGACAAATACTAAATGCAATGAGAAATAGAGATTGTTGAAAGTAATACTTTCATTTTTTTTTTACTGTGTCTGTTTTAAAGCTGTACTACTAGCTTCTTGTCTGGAAAATTTCATCCTGTTAATTTTGTCTTGATTAACAAGGATTAACAGTACGACAATAAGACTGTCCTGTGTTTTATTTTATGGCACACCTTATTTTCACTATGGTACTTTGCCTCTGAACTGCTTTGTTTGTTTAAAGTATTGCATATTTTAGGTCTTAGTCATTTTGATAGTTAGTGCTTAACAGTTTTCTCTTTAACTGTACTAATGAGTCGAACTTGTGCCCATTCTTCGCGTATCTGAGAGATTCGTACTTTATGTGCAGAGATTGAGAGGCTGGACAGTTTTTAATTTGATTTTCTAGTCCTTAAATTTTGATGTTTTATGAAGAATAGATTTGTAAAGAGTTTTGAGATTGTGTGTTTGAGACTACATGATTTAGTTCATGGTTTTGTTATCCTTTGATTTTCACGCTCCTTGTCCATTTTGACATAAGCAAGAAATGCACTCATGAATCTTTCCGATACGATCCAACACAAGGCGAGACTCGAGTGATGTTGTCATGATTATGGCGATGTTACAGGATGTCTATGGGCAGTCCTTGGATGACGGCTATGAATACTCTCAGGCTGTTTACGACGAAGATGACGAACAGCCAGTCGCCCGACGTACCAGCTACTCACAGTACCAGCAGAGCGACCCGGAGAGGAGGATCTCGCAGATGTCACACTACTCCAACCAGGACACCTCTCCACAGGTATTTGCGGGCCAGGCTACCTCTGTTGGCTTAGACTAGAGAGGAATGAGAGGGAAACAAGTTGAAATTTCTGCTGAGGTTTTAGGGAGACGTTTGTTCTTTGCCAATTGGAGTACATCAGCACACCCACAAGAGTGTGAAGACGCACGTGACTCGGATTCTCGAGAGACAGAAAACTTTAGCGCTCGTCAAGGAGAAAAAGTTTGATGCCAGCAACAGGGTCTCACTTCTCACTTTCTCTTTGGTGTTGAAGCATGAGCAAACTGTGACTGTGCTTTGAGCCTGCTTCGTTTCTCCCTGTTGTAATGACTTATGATTAGATGTAAGGATGGATGTTTATACATGATCTTTTGGGTTCTTTACTCATGTTCATATATGTACACACATGTAAACACATATGTGAGCATTTACAAAAAAAAAAAAAAAAAAAAAAAAAAAAAAACATTCACATGAGTATATGTATGTGGATACATACAGTGCCTCTATGTGGATACATTATGTATATATGCATTTATATACACCCATATTGTCATATACAAATGTGTGTACATGAATGTCAATGGATACATAGACCCTTACAATCATACAGACACCCATGAACTTTTGTGATTTGAAAGTTAGGTTGGAGGAAGGTAATAAGACGAAAATAAAAGAATGATTTGAATGTAAAAAATTCAGCTGAAATCCATCTTTAAAGCTAATAATGTGAACATAAAGCACACATCTGTGGTTGCTGAAAGTTTGAGACTGATGTTTATACTAAAAATATATGCATAGCAATTATCAACATTTTAATGATATAGGGAAATTAAGACAATACATTTATCTTTAATGCCAACACTAATGTTTTACACTGATTAAGTTACCCCATGTTCACGAGCCACTTATGAAGAGGAAGCTCATTAATAAACTAGTTTTATTTGGCTGATTAACATATCATGATTAATAGGTGAAGGCCACATTACGGGCTGTTGGCTAGTTTTTATAATTTGTGTATATCAAAGATTCATATATTGGTTTATTGGTTTATGTACATGAAATGGAAGAGGTTTATATAACACAGTGGAAGGGTAGATGGTACACAGGTGGGTGATACATTGCAGCAACATTATGGAGTGCGAAGAGTGAGTCAGCCGAGACCGCAGGAGTATAGCTCACCTGTAGAAAACAACCAATACCATAGAAGGTTCTCCAATGCTCAGGTGAGGGCCATTGCTACCATGCTTGGCCAAGTGGAGGCTTTTTTTTTTCTTTTCTTTTTTTTTTTCTTTTCTTTTTATGTTAGGAATGCTTCAGACATAACCTATATCTTTGAATACTCCCCCCCCTCCCCCTCCCATATCAGATAACACCACCCCCTCCCCCTGCCTCCCCATTTTCACACAGATGGCCTTCTCTAGATGTCAAATATATTGGTGATGTCTCATTAACAACTTAACCCGAGGGTAAAGCAAGAGCATGAGCACACCAGGTGGTTGCATGAGGACAGTTGGAGCACTTTCTCCGTGGTTCGGGATAAGTAAACGCAGTTCTAGCCTCAGATTCTTTGGGGTAAAATGTCGGTTTTCCCCACCACTGCAGCAGTTTAGATACAGAGATTGGTAGATCGTACATAAACTATACTAATACAGTTGCTGGTATTTTATATGCATACACATGATATAAAATTGTTAGAGGTCAAGTCATAAGAAAATGAGCTACTGCTTGGTAATTATTGAATACAAAAAGTGGCAGCAGCCTTTTACAGTATCGACTGCAGGGCTGTGATGGTAAATCTCAAGCTAGAACTGTGAGTATTTTCTTGCTGCTGTACTAATCCTGTTTACTTGACATAATGGCAGTGCTAACCATGTGGTCTCAATGTCTTCACCAACACTTTATATATAAGCCTTTGTTAGCTTTTGAATACATTTTTCTCTCCTCACACCTCAGTTCAGATACATATATGAATCTGCTATAAGCATTGTAACAGGTAGAATTTATTGTAATTTGTGTTCTGTACACGCAGATATAGGTGACCTGAATGAAACAATATTGTATATTAGTATTCCGTTCATGTTTTCACAAGTATTTGGAAAATTAGTACTTTAGCACAAAAATGTTTAGTTGACAGCAAATGTTTAGTTGACATGTACCCAGGATTTAGGGTCAGTGAACCTCTATCCCAGGAGCATTTATCTAGATAAATAACTTTTGGTTTAAAACTTGGACAGGTATTGAGGCTCCTAAACAAATGTATGAATTCAGATACATTTGTGTTAACATAATTGTATTAGCCCCTTGATCACAGGATCTTGGGATTTGTGATGGATCCAGAGGGAGTCACTGGTCTAACAGATTATAAAGGAGAAAAGCGAAATGAGAACTTTTCCTTAGAAATCCTCCTGGACCAGCGACCCTTCCAAGCCAGTAAATAATTTGACTTTAGGTCCGTACTCAAGAACATTTTCTCCAGGCCACACACACAGTAGCTAGCAAACTTTTGTAATTGTTTTGCTGGTTACCTGAGAAGAGCCACGATTATTGGTACTGGGTGACTGTCAGATCCTCGCCAATACTTTTGGAGCACAATGAACTTTAAAAGACATAGTGTGTCTAATATTAAGGAGATTTGGATCTGACGGTTGGTCCTGAGAAAGGTTTCTTGAGTTCAGCCCTTAAAGCAACAGGCCACCCACAGTTGCACAGATGAGCTGTTGCAAAGGGCACTGACAAGTACAGACCATGGGAAACTCTGGCTTACTGCTATGGTACCAATTAGTACATCATTGGATCCAAGGGGTTAATATTATGTACTGGCCTTCAGATAAGGATTGCTATGGAGTAAGCCTTATAGGAACACTGGCTTTTACATTCACTTATACTTCAACATTATTAAGTAAATTGAAGTAGATTTTGAAAGCAGTTTCTTAAGCAGCAACTTCATGTTATTGAAAGATCAAATTCTTTTTGAGTTCAGGTTATAGGCAGTTTAGGTTGAAATTATATAATGTTCTTTTTAATTAACAATAGATTGATACTGTGTAGATGTACTGTATAGATACAAAATATAGAATATCTAGCTCTCTTAGAGACTGCATTCATGTTTGTAATTGGTACGACACACCAAGTATTCACCATTTGATATGTGCTTAAGGTGTTGCTTATGTAGAAGTTTGTGATGAGGGTGATGTATCTTGTATTCTGTCATACTTTAACCCAGTGCTGCCGGGCGTGGCAGGTATGTACATGCCATGCCCACTGTGAGATTACTTTATCAATTATTTTTACACATAGATGGCTCTACTTGTACTAGGTCACCAATGAGTTGATTATGAGTACTGCCTGTCAAGCCAATGTTTACCCATGTCCTTGATTTACAAAAATATTTTACGTTATCTTATTTTGCTGTTATTAATGTTTATAACATTATTGTGATTATAATGTCTATAATAAAATTAACACCATAGGTATTCACAGCATTTGTAAAAAAGAAAAAAATGTATCCTGCCAATTCAGGGAAAGGTGAAATCAGGGAAGGTCACAAGGTCTACTAATTGACTCCTTTGTGGCTAAGCACTAGCAGAGCCATCTATGTGCAGAGACATTTCACAAAAAAACAAAAAACAAAAAGTAGTGAGCACAGCATTTTCCCGGTGTCATTGGGTTAAAAAAGTTGAGGTTGAAGGATGTCTTACTAAATTTGTTTACTAAAGACTGCATGAGAGTGTGAATCTAAAAGGAGTTTTTAAGAGTACTGTCTTGTGTAATATGTATTATTTTTGTGATTTATCCTGGTGTGAAGCAGAGCAGGTATATTGGATACACACATCATACACACACACAAGCATACATGCATTCAAACATACATGCAAACCTAGATACATACATACATGCATACATACATGAATACATACATATGTTCATAAGCATATATTCATATACATATGCATACATATTTATGCATACATATATATGTATATATACATATATATGTATACATATATATGTATACATATATACATATATATGTATACATATATACATATATATGTATACATATATACATATATATGTATACATATATACATATATATGTATATATATACATATATATGTATACATATATATATATATATATATATATATATATATATATATATATATATATATATATATATATATATATATGTGTGTGTATATATATATACACGAGTGTGTGTGTGTGTGTGTGTGTGTGTGTGTGTGTGTGTGTGTGTGTGTGTGTGTGTGTGTGTGTGTGTGTGTGTGTGTGTGTGTGTGTGTGTGTGTACACATACATATAAACACATATCCACATTCATATACATTCATTGATATTTTGAGATGCTCATGTTATTTATTTATTTATTTATTTATTTTTTTAATAACTGAAAATTTAGGCATATATTGACAATGTGGACTGTATATTTATTTAATGGACTGTTTTTATATTGAACTTCAGATGCAAAAGGATATATATTTTAAGAAATGGATTCTTTACAGACGAGAGAAATATCCACTCCCAAAATTTCCTTAGAACATCATCAAATAAGAATATGGCTATATGCAAAACAGTCTTAGAAAACCACAAAATGTTAATGTCTATGAGACATTGGTAACATTAATTCAGTCACAAATCCATCATGTGGAAATTTCAGCCTGAGAAGCAAAAAACTGTCGTGGATGGAATCAAGCTGTTTCAGAAAGTGCCTTCAGTTTCTAATAAAAGCAATTTGATAAGATAAGATAAAGAAAGAACATCAGGCTTTTTTTTTATAGAAAGTGCAATATATTATACCTAAAGATATAAATTGTTCTGTCTCCTACAGAGCAGATTATATATGATATTTTTGGCTGCTCTAAAATTGTCTGAGGAAGGTTCAAGGATAAGAACCATAATCTGCTAAATTGCATCAGTGGCCTGTGGTGTTATTAATAGTGTTCACTACTAAATCAAAGTGATTGGAATTAAATTGTTTAACCAGAGGTGCCTTCATTGAAAAATTTGAAGTGGGCCAGATTTTGTTGTAAGTGATGGACAAGATCTTTTTTTTTCCATAGATCTGACCTTGTATTATATATGAATAATGCAGTATGAAAATTATATATATATTTTTTTTATGTACATAAAGCATAAGCTAAAATTTGTCTACGGCTTGCTTTCTGATCATCCAAAACCTAGAACTTACAAACCATATGATTAGACATACTTATTATTACATTGATAACTTTGCATAAAAAGCTCTATTGTGCCATAAAGCAATGTTAAATTGAGAATGTAAACAGCAGGGATCTAGTGGCTACTACAGCAGCAGCAGCAGTTCGAATGGATACCACCGCGGGGAGGCAGACAGCACGGACCGACTGCGCAGAACGTCGTACTCCTCCACACAGGTCGGACATCCACCCAGTAGTATGGCAGACTCACAGCGCAAAATTGTTCTGGGACTCTAACTTAAGGTTGTGGCTCTTCGCTTTGCTCTCTGGAATCAGTGGAATGGACTCTGTTTCGGCGTTAACTCTTCCTCGTATTTACTAAAATCTCGTTTCTTTTCCCCCCCCCTGGTTTACCTTCTTCTCCTTAAGATACATTGCTGGTCTGATTGTATGGACTAATATGTATATGTGGAAATGTGAGAATATATGGGTATATTTTTTTCTCACCCGAATGGAATATACAAGGTGCTCCATCATAGCAGAATTAGTTCATATAGATTTATTGTACTAAAAATCCCAATTGGTCATGCCTCAATAGTCACAATATAAACATAGAGCTTCAAGACAGAAAGGAAGTTTTTTGCAGTTAAAGATGAATTTAGAAAATCAGAATGATATATTTACTGTTGTCTTTGATTTGGTAGAGCAAAGTATAGGAGTCAGCCTTAGCAAAATAGAATAGCCACTGGTACACATTTTGGTATGACTGTGCTGTAGAGGCATTTCTTGCCATAGAGTTTTCATGTGTCCTAGATTCACAAGGGACTATGGGAACTGGTAATCTAGCATGCACAGGCACAGATTGTGGAAACGGCAGTGATAAATTCATGTCCAAAAGATTGCATTGAATCTGGGAAGTGTCTCTATGAACAAGTTATTTCATTAGACCAAGTCCTATTGAATTGATATTATTATCTATTAATTAGCTATTTCCTTATTTTTTTATGCAATTATTTGCATTGTTAGTAAATTTGATTTTTGACTCATTTATTTATGTATTCAGTAGTATATACAATTTAATCTAATTTTATTTATCTCTTTATTTCTATATATCTTTCTTTCTGAAATCCCCTTCCAATATATACCTACAATCATTTAAAAAGAAGAAATCTACTTGCTGAAGAGTCCCGTTTTTGGGCCGAAGACAACTGCTCCCTCTACTATTACAGTGCAGTAATACTGTTCCCTTACTTTACGGTTCGGTTCCCTCGTTGTCCACCTGAAACGTACGCAAGAATCACCCCAGAGCACCTGCATGTACCCGCTGTATATACATCTTGGTAGTGCAAAGTACAGCATGATCTGGTCGTAATTCTGGTATTCATGTCGTTGTCTCTTTTGAAAGCTAAAACGTGTGCTTGGGATAATGTAGGGTGTGGGATTATACCAAGTTTTTAGTATTTCAGATTTGTGGTCAAGGTAGGCAAGGGGAAATGTGGTGTCATGTGTGTGGTTCTGCTCTGATTTGGGACTAATGGACTATGTTTATTCAGTGTGAAAGGATGTATTGCTTTATTGCTTGTGGGATCTGGTTGGGAGCTCTGCACTGTATCAAAATGAGGAGTGGTTAAAGAAGATCCACCACCACCACCTCCTCCTCCTCCACCACCTCCACCTCCACCTCCACCTCCATCTCCATCTCCTCCTCCTCCTCTTCCTCCTCCTCCTCCTCCTCCTCCTCCTCCTCCTCCTCCTCCTCCTCCTCCTGTTCCTCCTCCTGTTCCTCCTCCTGTTCCTCCTCCTCCTCCTCCTCCTCCTGTTCCTCCTCCTGTTCCTCCTCTTCCTCCTCTTCCTCCTCTTCCTCCTCCTCTTCTTCTTCTTCTTCTTCTTCTTCTTCTTCTTCCTTCTCCTCCTCCTCCTCCTCTCCTCCTCCTCCTCCTCCTCCTCCTCCTCCTCCTCCTCCTCCTCCTCCTCCTCCTCCTCCTCCTCCTCCTCCTCCTCCATCTCCTCTTTGTCCTCCTCCTCCTCTCTGCCCTCCTCCTTGTCCTCCTCCTTACAAAAAAGTAAAAACTAGGAAAAATGGCAGCAGTATTCTTCAGGTTTCATATACTGAAAAAAAATAGAATGAATGTGATGGGGCATTGTAGATGGGGCTGATACTTGTAATTGTACCCATTGTCCTCATCATTATCGTCATCGTTGCCATCGTCATCGTCATCATTGTCATTGTCGTCATCTTCATCTTCAATTTCTGTCCTCATTTTGCAGGTATTGTTGTCACCATAATCATCACCATCATCATCATTATTGCCATCATTGGTGTTTATTTATTATAAAAAAATTTACACAAGGAATAGATCTATCCAAGCCACACAAAACTTTGTAAATTGATAACAGGAGAGCTTGCAAAAAAAAAAAAAAAAAAAAAAAAAAAAAAAAAAAAAAAAAAAAAAAGGCCAATGGTTCTCTTTGCTCCTAGAAGCACCATCCATGTGATAGAACTCCCCCATTATCAAGGAGCCAAATCACAGTTTCAGTTATTTAGCCATTGATCTTTGCCAGGTCTTTTGTTTTAACAGGATATTTGGATTTGGCTCAGAAACTTGTTGTAGAGAGGTTTTGTGATCATCGGCGTAGGGGCATTTAAAATTTAGGGGGGGCTGCAAATTTTCTGCCCGAGTGAAAGAGGAAGAGAAATTTCACCTGCCAGAAAATTTGTGATGAATGCCACCAGTGGCGTAGATAGAGGGGGTCGGGGGGGGGGGGAACTCACCTATAAGGCTAAACTGCCATTTTGTCAGAAAATTTCTGCACTTGTCGGAAAAATAACGATGGCTTTTTGTTTCGTTTAGTTCCAGTGGCCTTATGTTATGTTCAAAATAATAAGAAATGAGAATTAGTGTCAAATTTTTGTCGGGATATCTTCATTTCTCGCCCCCTCTATGAATTTTCCTATCTACGCCCCTGCCCAAAATTGCCCGAATTCAACCAGCATTTACCCAGCCCCCCTGGCTCCTACGCCTATGTTTGTGATAGTATTGTATCATGTGGTTTACTTAATGAAAAGCTATTCAGAGACTTTGTTTTCAATCTGTAGTTACTGCTAGTGTTTACCAATACTTTGTGATTGCATAAAAGGAATTATTTTGATGATTATGTTGTTAACGTATCTGAGCAAGAAAACAATCCAGTCTTTAGTATGAGCATATTACATTAGAGGAGTTTATACATTTTGAAAATGCAAAATAACTTTGAATGTTATTTGTTAGCTCATGCACATAATGTATAACTTTCTTTTTTCTCTTCTTTTCTTTTAGGGGTAGAAGTTAACTTTTAAAATCATGTCTAAAGCTATACCATATAGATCCTATTTTTTATTTTCAATGTATATGACTGGTATAATCTGGCTACATAATACTGCTGTTTGTGTGCATAAATATACCATTTAATAGTTTGACATAATGGATAGAGTCTTGTTGTATAATACTATCATTTGTGTGCATAAATATACCATTTGATAGTTTCAGGCAGGCAGTGACCAGCTTGGGCCCTTAAGGTCACCTCTTGCGATCCATGTAAGACTACTTTATCTTTCGCTGCTTCCCGTAAATATCTGTGGTGCTCACTAACTTACTCCCTTCTCTGTTTGCCTTAGTGTTGTGTGTACGTGACATTGTATTTTGTGGAGGTTATATATATATGTATATGTATTGGTGGAGGGATATGTCTATCCCATGTCCATACAGTCCCACCACCGTTTCATGTTGTTCTCCTGTGTTCCTTGGGTGACGTCGGAGTGACTTCGTATAATGTGTTATCGGTGTATCTCTTATGCTAATGCGAATTTGCTTCCCTTATATGTGTTACTGTAGTTGAAGAGTGTGTTTGAACTGATACTGATTTCTGGAGTATATATATAAGTATAATATTCCTTTTGATTATTAGTGATTTTGCTTGGACTTTGATTATAGCAGAGATTATATATAATATTTTAAAATTTGTGTTCCAGAGCCCATCACGGCGTAGCAGCCAGATTGTCACAGAAGCCGATTCGTCTGACTCACGAGGGTATATACGCTCACCTGAATCACGCACTCACAATGCTGACTATGAGTACGACTCACGCAATGCTAACTATCTGAGCCGGGAAGACACGGCGCCCAGGTATACCAACGGCACTAACAACTCCCCCCTCACTCCCGATAATAATGACAGCAATGCCACTAACAACAACCCACTCTGTCCCCTTCAGTGAGTACACAAAGTAAGGTGCATGCAAAAGTGGCTCAAGATTCACACACCCCCTCCAAAAAAAACAAAATAAAACAAAAAGAGAAAAACAAAAGAAAAAAAAAAATCTGAGCATGATCTCTTCAGTGGCTGCATGACTCCAGCATGTTACATTGGACATGATCGTATGTGTTGTGGAATCGTCACTTTTGGTGGAAGTTACTTGGTGTTCAAGTTTGTACTTTCCACGTCCTAGATTCCAGGGATTGCGTTTGAGACGAGGGCCCTGGCTGATAATTCTAGGATTAGGGACGACTCAGGGCATCGTCCATCTTGAGTGTTCTTTTACATTTACATCCATTGACATCTGTTGCTTGTAAAACATATTTCTTTTATTTGTCCTTTGTGCGATTTCTCTTCTAGAAATTTGGTAATAACTTGCTTAATTTGTGTGTTTATTTCTTGAGATTAATAGTATTAATTATGGAATATTTATGCATATAACTCCCAAGTTAGCTACTGGTATTTTCCTGTGTAGTTTGGAACAAAATGCGCTTAGTTAACATAGAATAAAACAAACATACTTTTCTTGATTTCAATACCTGATCAGTAGACTTTCTCAGTCAATCAAAGGAACCATTTTGTTCAAAGTTCCGTGTTAGTTGAAGACTGGAGAGAATGATTGGGTTGCTACAAAATATCCCTGTATTTTATGGAATATTTATGCATATAACTCCCAAGTTAGCTTCTGGTATTTTCCTGTGTAGTTTGGAACAAAATGCGCTTAGTTAACATAGAATAAAACAAACATACTTTTGTTGATTTCAATACCTGATCGGTAGACTTTCTCGGTCAATCAAAGGAACCATTTTGTTCAAAGTTCCGTGTTAGTTGAAGACTGGAGAGAATGATTGGGTTGCTACAAAATATCCCTGTATTTTATGGAATATTAGATTAACCTTTTTTTTTTTTTTTATTGTCCTTTGTGCGATTTCTCTTCTAGAAATTTGGTAATAACTTGCTTAATTTGTGTGTTTATTTCTTGAGATTAATAGTATTAATTATGGAATATTTATGCATATAACTCCCAAGTTAGCTTCTGGTATTTTCCTGTGTAGTTTGGAACAAAATGCGCTTAGTTAACATAGAATAAAACAAACATACTTTTGTTGATTTCAATACCTGATCGGTAGACTTTCTCGGTCAATCAAAGGAACCATTTTGTTCAAAGTTCCGTGTTAGTTGAAGACTGGAGAGAATGATTGGGTTGCTACAAAATATCCCTGTATTTTATGGAATATTTATGCATATAACTCCCAAGTTAGCTACTGGTATTTTCCTGTGTAGTTTGGAACAAAATGCGCTTAGTTAACATAGAATAAAACAAACATACTTTTCTTGATTTCAATACCTGATCGGTAGACTTTCTCAGTCAATCAAAGGAACCATTTTGTTCAAAGTTCCGTGTTAGTTGAAGACTGGAGAGAATGATTGGGTTGCTACAAAATATCCCTGTATTTTATGGAATATTTATGCATATAACTCCCAAGTTAGCTACTGGTATTTTCCTGTGTAGTTTGGAACAAAATGCGCTTAGTTAACATAGAATAAAACAAACATACTTTTCTTGATTTCAATACCTGATCGGTAGACTTTCTCGGTCAATCAAAGGAACCATTTTGTTCAAAGTTCCGTGTTAGTTGAAGACTGGAGAGAATGATTGGGTTGCTACAAAATATCCCTGTATTTTATGGAATATTAGATTAACCTTTTTTTTTTTTTTTTTTTTTTAATGGTCTGAATGAGGGATTTACACTTCTCTGTGGTGAAATGCGTTAAAGGAGATTCTGTATGGTATATTCAAGTCATGTATCGTCTCATAAGTCGTGAAAGTTGAAGAGGGAAAAAGTTATTCCTGAGAAAGAAATAGGACCAGTTAGAAAATACAACCGCTAATTTCAACTGCCCCCTTCCAGCAAAGTGAGAATGGCTTGGTGCAGCAGCACTACGACAACACATACCGCCGAGTGGAACAGCAGGTGGAAACAGCTTCGCGGTCATCAGCCATGGAGCGCCCCTCGCCCACTAAGCCTTACCCAGCAAGGCCAAAAACAAGGGTGAGCACTCTGTTGAAAAGTTGATGAGAACACTTCGTTGAATAGTTGACGAATTTCATTACAGAGGGGAGATGGAGATTTAACCCAACGCTGCCAGGTGAAGAAAATAAATAAAAATTCTACACTCTGGAGATCATTGGCAACAGGCTGACTTTGAGCATAGGAGTTTGCTACATCAAGCCGAACATCCTGCTCAAAGCGCTCTGGTGTGCAGCTGCGGTGTACAGCTGTTTTCCGCAGACCAAGTGGTTTGTTATGACACCGCTAGGCGTGACCCTGCAGTATCGGGTCAAGAATGATACTATCATCTCAAGCTTTCTGTGAACTTTATATATATCATTTATGAAGTTAGTTGGGCATTAATTTTACTCTGAAAGGAGAGGTGTTTGTGTTTTGTAGTTAATGTATAAAGATAAAGTATAAAGATTTTTTTTTGGTATGTTAGTTATTTGGAGTTCACAAGAAAATTTGCAAATAATCTGGAAAGGATATTTCAGAATTTTATTGTTACCTTCAATCTTTTTTAAGGGGGGTTGATTTTCTTTCACAATTCATAATGTCCAAATTGACTGATAGAAAAAAGAAATTGTCATTCACATTTTCCCCTTTTTTCTCTTACTCTCTTCTTGTGGATCTTCTGCATAGTATTATTTCCCATTGTAAACAAGTCCATTCGCTTTCAGAATGCCAATGTCTTGTCTGCTGTGCTCTGCTTGATCAAAGAGCTGGACTACTCAAGCCTGGAGGTCGTGGAAATGGCTGTGCGTTGCAGGATGGAGGAACTCGATGACTGAGAATGGAAGGAACAGATGGAGCCGTTGATTCACACGTTGCAAAACAGATGGAGGTGTTGCTATCGTTACTGAATCTCATGCTTGTTTCGGGAAAGGCGAGAGGAAGTGAATGAATCGTATGGTTTTTTTTTTTTTGTTTGAGTGGAACAGCAGGTGGAAACAGCTTCGCGGTCATCAGCCATGGAGCGCCCCTCGCCCACTAAGCCTTACCCAGCAAGGCCAAAAACAAGGGTGAGCACTTTGTTGAAAAGTTGATGAATTTCATTACAGAGGGGAGATGGGCCCAACGCTGCCAGGTGAAGAAAATAAATAAAAATTCTACACTCTGGAGATCATTGGCAACAGGCTGACTTTGAGCATAGGAGTTTGCTACATCAAGCCGAACATCCTGCTCGAAGCGCTCTGGTGTGCCGCTGCGGTGTACAGCTGTGTTCCGTAGACCAAGTGGTTTGATATGACACCGTTAGGCGTGACCCTGCAGTATCGGGTTAAGAATGATATTTTCATCTCAAGCTTTCTGTGAACTTTATATATATTATTTATGAAGTTAGTTGGGCATTATTTTTACTCTGAAAGGAGAGGTGTTTGTGTTTTGTAGTTAATGTATAAAGATAAAGATAAAGTATAAAGATTTTTTTTTTTTTAGTTGAATTGGATTTTTTTTTTTTCTTTCTTTTTTTCTTTTTTCATTGGTTAAAAGGAAGTAAAAAAAAGGGTATGAGAAGGTTGTACAGAAATATATTCATTGGATTCTTTTTTTTTTTTTATTAGAAATTAGACTGCGATTGTCTGCCTTTTGTTTTTCCGTAATTTTTTTTTTCTTATAGTTAAAAAGAAAAAAAAAAATGGGTTGCAACTAAGAGTGCATTAAAGAATACTTAATATTCTCAGTTCGATCTTCGTGCAGAAAGCAACGTAATTCTTCTTAGATTGCATTAATAGGCATGAAAGATGAATTACATTTAGTTCAAAGGATACAAATAAACTTTTTTAAGGAGGCTGAGGGACTTTGTATATAGAAGGATGAAAAAAAAAACAAAAAAACTTTCTTCCCCACTCACTCCTTTTCAATATTTTTACATTTTTCTTTATTATTACATTTTTTTTTCTTAATCTCACAATTAACGAAAACTGATATACTCAGACCTTCACGACGAGGGTCTTAGATTGACTGAGAACTAATCTTTAAGTTTTAGGATTCTCATTATAAATAGTTTGATTTTTTGTCTATGTCCTTTTTTTTATCATTGTGTGTGTGTATGTTCTTTTTTAAGCCTGTTTATTTTATAATTATTTGTCATTGATGTTTTTATTTTTTATTTTCTTATTATAGTAATATTGATATTATTATTATTATTATTATTATTATTATTATTATTATCATTATCATTATTATTATTATCATTATCATCATCATTATTATTATTATTATTATTATTATTATTATTATTATTATTATTATTATTGTCATAATTATCATTATTACCATTACTATTATTATCATTATTCTTATAATGATAATTGTTGTCATTATCATTATCAAATTGTAGCTAACTCCTTTTACCCGAAGGAGACCTTAATCTATATGATTCTCTCAAAGCTTTAAGAATGTTGTTTGATAATCAGTACCTTATCATTTGTGTTAATTCTTCTTTGGCCAGTTTTGTGATATTCCGATGATGAGGCCGTGCGAGGAATCTGCGTGTGGTGTGGTGTTTAGGGTGTGGCGATGTGCGTGGGGTTATTTAGCGTCTCCGTGCTATGGTTATTGTTTTTATTATGGTTGTTGTTATTATGGTTATTATTATTATTATTATTATTTTTTAATTATTATTATTATTGTTATTATTATTATTATTTTTTTATTATTATTATTATTGTTATTATTATTATTTTTTTTTATTATTATTATTGTTGTTATTATTGTTATTATTATTATTGTTTATGGATTTTTTTTCTTCTGAGATGTGGTTTTTATTTTTATTATTATTGTTTTGTTAATGAAGTTGTCTGCATGGAAGATGTAAGTTAGGTTATATTTTATTTTACATCCAGTGTTTGTGTTATATCATTATTATTATTTTTTTTTAAGTGATGGCGTGGGTATTTTTTATGCATGTTTATATAGCAGAGGTATTCTGCTGGTCTTACTTTTAATGTAGCCATAATAGTTTTTGGCAGATAATGGCGAATGAACGTATTGATGGTATATAATAAATTTTTTATTATTATGATTATGATAGTTTTAGTTTTATTTATTATTATGATTTTTTTTTTCGATGACATAAGTATTAGAGCTGATTTTTTTTTTTTTTTTCTTTTTTTTTTTTTGAAATTCCTTTATGGAGGTGTGTTTGTAGAAGATATCAATACTTTTGTACTTTTAGTCTACTAATTCACTAAATTGATAAAACAATGGCCGTCTCTAGTAAGATCCTTTCAGCACTCCTGAAAATACACGTGAGGATACACTGTGTTATGTCAGTGCATTTCCCTTATACTTGTGTACTGTTTCTTACTGCCAAACTATTTTAAGAATATTTTTCT